TTTTTTGTTTTTTTGAATGTCCAGAGGACCAGATTGAACTTTTTTGGGTTTTGATGTATGATTGACTAAAATAGCAGAAAATCTGCAGGAGTAGTTGGATACCAAAAGAACGTACAGAAGAAACAAAAAGGGAATAGTGTAAACGATATCTTAAGACGTGTTTAAATATTATTTCTTGGCATCTGATTAATTCTTGTTAACTTCTGGTGTCATGAGATGAGTTGTCTTCCTGAATGCTTTCTTCCAGGGGCTGTTCCAGAGATCCCAGTGATGTCATCAGTCAGCGCCTGAAAGACATGTTTGACGTTTTCACTCGGCATTATGAGGACAGCGATGCAGAAAGCAGGGGGATGGACAAAGGTGACCCGTCTTCAGTAAACAGCTGATCTGCCTCCCCTGTGTTTGTTAATAAATTTGTCCCTGCAGAAATGGCGGTGAAGTACTTCCACCTGGCAGAGGCGCTCTACTACAGGATCCTGGAGTCCATCATAGAAAGAGAGAAGATGATCCTGGGAGATGCTGACCTGTCCGTGAGTCCTCTTCCTGACGTCATGTTTTAGGCTCGGTCCAACAACAGCGATGAGATGGGGACTTAACACAAATGGAGAGTATTCTGTAGAAGCTGCAGCTAATTACCTGACAGACAAAACTCTGGGCCAATAGTTTGTAAAACAGCCAGTGAGGAAATCTTTAATAGAGCAGCAGTTTTCTTCAACCGGAGTGAGAACTTGTGTTTGTTCCTCAGTGTATTCTGGAGCAGGACGTCTTCCACCGCTCCCTGCTGGCCTGCTGCCTGGAAATCGTCACCTTCTCCTACAGACCTCCAGGAGACTTCCCCAACATCATCAACACCTTCCAGCTCCCTGCTTATCACTTCTATAAGGTACCAGCAACCTGCTCACATTCACAAGCTGTTGCTGTGAGTCTGACCGAAGGAAACGGCTGAAAATCTCAATTATTGACCAATTTATGAGGGAAATTTAGGCACAAATCAGTTCCACTGACAGGAATTTTTATTCAAAAGGCAAATGTTTCTTATTCTGTTTTTTATACAACGACAGTTCACAAAAAATATCTCAATACACTAAAACATTCACATGTTTTATAAAAGATAGAGGCAAAGTTATCTAAGGAAGCAGCTGATTGTGTTGAATCTTCACTTTGTCTCGCTCTCCCATCCTGAGCAGTACATTGGTGACAGTGGAAAGGAAAAACTCGCTTTTAACGAGAAGAAACCTCCAGCAGATCCAGAACCAGGCTCATGATGGACAACCATCTGCCTCAACTGCCTGGGGTTAGAGAGGACAGGAAAGAGACACAAACACATAATAACTGGTCCAGGTGTAGATTCTTTATGCTTGTTTATTTGTCACATGCAGGTTAACACAAAGTCAACAATGCAATGAAATGTTCAGGACGAGAAGAACCGTTTGGACTCGCTGTAAGAACAAGAAATACTAAAGCATGCAGTAAAAGTACAAAATAAAGTACCAAAAAGTAAAAAAGAAATGTAATATTTACAAATTACAAAATAAATATAGTAAGCGCATGGTAGAATATAATGGTGCAAGTAGGATTAATTAGTATAGATAAGTATTTCACTAAAATACACATGATATATATTGCACATAACTAACATATATACTGCACATGTTGTGTGACACGTTATAGCACAGGTAGTAACACTGAGATTAATTGAATTATGATGGTAAAGTAGTGACATGCATGATACAGCCACATAATGCAGCAGCAATAAACATATTAGGTGTCCCAGATGTGGCTTAGTGCAATGTTATTATCAATAACTGTGTTATTGTCAAGAGTTCAGTGATCGAGACAGCTTGTGGGTAATAACTGTCTTTGAGTCTTTTCGTGCGCAATGGCAGACTCGTGTGCTCCCCTCTGTCAGAGGGTAGCAGGCGGAAAAGTCCTTGTGCTGAGTGGGTGTGGTTCTTAATGATGCTGCGTGCTTTACGCAAATACCGGTTGAGGTAGATGTCCTGGATGGTGTGGAGACTGGTACCAGTAATGTCCTCTGCTGTTTGCACCACCCTCTAGTGCTTTTTGGCTCTGACTGGTACAGTTCCCATACCACCCTGTGGTCCAGCCTGTCAACAGTCTCTCGATGCTTGTATGGAAGTTTGTGAGGATGCTGGTGTTTGTACCAAAATTCCTTACGTCAACTTCCTTAATCTTCTTAGGACGTAGAGTCTTCAGGCTTTCTTGACCACAGTGTCAGTATGTAATGTCCATAGTACAGTACCAGGTGGTTTCTCTGGTTCAGTTGTAGTTTCTATGGTCCATGTGTAGTTTCTGTGGTCCAAGTGTAGTTTTTAGGATCCATTTGAAGTTTCTCTGGTCCAGGAGTGGTTTCTACAGGAAGAAAGGTTTATAAAAATGTGTGTTAATGGTAGAAATAATTAAAAACAACTTCATAAATGGTGAGTAGAGTTGGCAGAGTGAGGAGTTGTGGTCAGACAACACTGAGGCAGTTACATGATCCCCCCCCCCCCCCCCCATCATGGCAGCAGGCAAAGACCAGTTTAAATACAAAAACAGCTGTTATAACAGCTGTTCATAAAGATTTGCTTCTGTTTTTAATACTCGTATGTGATTGTGTTTGTGTGCAGGTGATCGAGGTTCTGATCCGGTCGGAGCAGGGCCTGTTCCGGGAGGTAGTGAAGCACCTGAACCAGGTGGAGGAGCAGGTTCTGGAGAGTCTGGCTTGGACCAGCGACTCACCGCTGTGGCAGAGTCTCCAATCTGTCAAAGTCCCGTCCTGCCAGGAGGTCGGTACCAAAAAGACACAAGTTTCTATTCTGGTTGGGTTCTGGTGAGTACTTTGGGTTGTTCTGAGCTTCAGTTAAGTTCTGGTTCTGGTTCTGGGTGTGCTTCAGGTGATGCCTCCTCAGTATCTGGAACAGAACGATGAGAGCAAAACGAGCGGCGTTCCCACAACACCAATAAACCACGGAGTGGACCTCAACACCAACAGAACCGCCAAAGGTGACAAATCATCCATCCATCATTCATCCATCAGCCATCATCCATCCATTATCCATCCATTGTCATCCATCCATCCATCATCCATCCATTTCATCATCATCTATCCATCCATCATCCATCCATTTCATCATCATCTATCCATCTATCATCCATCCATCCACCCAATCAAGTTTCAAGTTTTTGTTTATCCATCAAACATTAGTGTTTTTGAATTACATTTGCCCCCCCCTCCTCCCTTGACAGGTGTGTCCCCCTCCCCCACCACCCTGCAGGACAGGTACAGCTCGCCCCCCACAGGTGGGTTTCGTCGCCGTCTGTTTGTGGAGCCAGTAGAGGGTGAGACCAGCACCGCCAGTTCCTCCCCGATCATAGTGACAAAGACCGGCCCACCAGGTCTTGTTGCTGCAATCCCTGCTGGGCAGACGGTGGTGGCGACCGCTACGGTCACTGCCAACAACTGGCAGACGCTGCCCATACCTGTGCAAGGTGAGACACTGAGTTTAACCCCGACAGGTAAAGAACATCCCAGCACTGACCTCTCATCTCTCTGCAGGGATACCGAATGAGATCCGAGGCTTCACGTTCATTCCGGTGCAGGTGGGTACAGCCACGCTGCAGCCACTCACTGCGCAGACGTTGACCGGCACCCTTACAATCCAATCACCTGTCAGCAAACCACCTCCTAAAGCATCCAGCAGCCCGCTGAGGAAAGGCCCCCTGTCTCTGTTCTTCAGGAAGGTCAGTGTCTCACCTGTTCACAGTGACGCCCATCACCTGAGTGGATCCTGATGATGTCACATGTCCTCTCTCAGGTGTACCATCTGGCCAGCGTCCGTCTCAGAGATCTCTGCTCCAAATTAGACATCTCATCAGATCTGAGGAGGAAGATCTGGACGTGTTTCGAATATTCTCTGGTCCACTGTTCCGACATGATGAAGGACCGCCACCTGGACCAGCTGCTCATGTGTGCCGTTTACCTCATGACAAAGGTTCTGTTCACACACTTGAGCCCCTTCTCATGAAGAGATCCTTCATTGTTATGAAGCATTAAGAAAATCTAATATAATCTGTACAAAATACTTTTTTCTTTTTTTTTAAGTTTGTTTTTACACGGGACAGTGAATCTGATAGACAACCTAAGTGTCAGAGTTCAAAGTCAGGGGAGCGCATCTTCATGCTACAAACCTACAGCCCAGTACTTTCTTACTGAATGGATTTAATTAAAGAGTCTCACAAAATGTTTTGAATGTGTCCAAAAATACAACAACCAAACTTTATTATATTAACACCTGAAACTCACTGAGTCGCATCTGTTGAAGACACTAAGTTGTGGAAAAAAAATATGAATTTTTATTTGTTATTGAAACTTTGCATACATAACTGCAAATTGAGACATTCCTGCAAATTGTTTTTTTTATTAGTTTTTGTCCCAATTTAGTCAAAAAGTGACTTCATGATGCATCAATTTAATCAAAATTTACTCTCATTTGAGAAACTTTTTTTTCCCATTGCATCGTCTTCTATTTGCGACAAGCAACTCGTGCGGCCATTTTTTAAAAACCCTGGCCTGTTTTCATGTCCACGTCTTGCAAAACTTTTTTTGTCCGTGCACGTTATTTTGTTGTCCATCACTGCCCACGTCTTTTTGATTTGTCCCCATCTTTGCAGATCTGCCTGAGTTAACTTAAGGAATGAAGACAGGAAGATTTGGACCAGTTTTTAATGAATATTATTTATTATCAGGGTGGTGGTTAGACCTGGATATTCATGGCTGAAGCCTCGGGTGTGTTCCGTCAGAGGAGAGCTCATGCAGGAGTCAAATACAGATTTAGAGCTCTACAAATTATGGAGACTAAATTGAAAAGGGATTAAACTGCAACTTTTTTTTTTTAACGTTCAAAAATTCAAGCGGGAGAACTCTGTCTTAAGAAAAAACTAAAAACCCTGGGAAGGTTTGGAGACATTCAGGAGACTCCTTTGGGAATCTCCAGCAGTCACTAATACTGGCTAAAATAAATCTGAATAAACTGCATTAAACCTCTGAACAAATCAACAAATAATGATTTTATTTGTTTCTGTCAGGTCACCAAAGTGGACAGGTCCTTCCAGAACATCATGAAGTGTTACCGCACTCAGCCTCAGGCCACCAGCAACGTAAGACACACACATGCACACATGTGTCAGGAAGCTGTTTTTACTCAGATTCATCATGAAGACCTGTGAGGTGCTGCTCTTCTTCTGAACATGCTAAAGTGTGTATGTGTGTGTGATTTAGGTCTACAGGAGTGTGCTGATCTCCGGGAGAAGGAGGCTTCCTCCCACCACCAACGATCCCAACAAACTGAGCTCCTCAGCTGATGGCAGCCAGGATCCAGGTCAGGACCCGCCTGCTTGGGCTTTTCTCTTGTCTTTTTGTCTCAACATCAAGTCGCTGTATTTCTATTTGCAACTTTTAAATGTATTTAAAAGTTCTTCTTCTCTTGTTGGACAGATGACTAAAAAACAGCCGTTTTTATTTGTGTTGATCTGTTTGTCTTCAGAAGGGTATATGTATTGTCAAGCGAGATTCCTCTCTTTTTTTTAGCTGTTTTTAGATTTTTCAAGATTTGTTTTAGCGTGGCTAGATCGCCATGGTAACAAAGGCTTAACTGTTAAGAGTTTCGGGTAATTTGTAATAAGAGTTAAAACTTGTTCTCTGATTCTGGCAGAAAAACACCTGACTCTGTTGAACTTGTTCGTATTACACTCATCGAGGCGTCCAGTGCTATAACTAGAGACTGGACCAGAAGCTGGAAGTTGAAGCCACCAAGGCGGAGCTTAAAATAAGCCCCGCCCTTCCATGTAAACAAATAGAACATTTTCCTAAAGAAAAGTGTCAGGTCATACAGTGATTGACAGCTTGTTAGTAAGTAAGGAGGCTGTGGAGGCGGGACTTTTATATCGACGGACTAGCCCCACAAAGAGCTCAGTCTCCTGCTCCAAAAATACAACATGGCTGCTTCCATAAACACAAACATTTTGACTTCAACTCTGAACAACCGGACAAAGCAGAGAAGCTTCATCATTTTAGTAAAGTCGATGAGAATACCCGTCGGGTCCAGTTTTGCTCCATTTGCTCCACTCTTGTTTTATTTTGATTAATTTAACTTCCTGCTTTCTGTTAAAATAAAATCTAAAGCTCCTTTGATTTTTATAAATAAATTTTAAAAATCACCTTCATTCAGTGATTAAAACTGGTTGGACTCTTGACTTCCTCCTTGCAGGTGGAAACATCAGCCCGGTTCCAGTCTGCTCCAGCAGCAGCCTACTGACGCCCCGGCCCAGCAGTGCCCCCTCCACACCCACCAAGAGCTCCTCCCCTTCCTCCCCAGCTGAGGAGGAGCGAGGAGACCTGATCCATTTCTACAACAACGTCTACATCAAACAGTTGAGACTGTTTGCCCTGAGATACTCGCCGAGCTCGCCGTCTGCAGCGGTACGTCCTCAGGTTCCTGCCCTGAGACGGCAGGAGGGGTCCGTCTGAGACACGGAGGAAGGTTTTACCGTTAGACTTATAATATGTTTGCAAAGAAGAGTAATCTCCTGATCTGGAGCTGTTTAAACCTCCTGATCTGAATCTTTTTAACCCTCCTGATCCAGATCAATTTAAACGTCCTGATCAGGATATTTTTAAACCACCTGATCCAGATCTGTCTAAACCTCCTGATCTGGATCTTTTTAAACCTGATGATCCAGATCTGTTTAAACTTCCTGATCAGGATCCTTTAAACCTCTTTGATTAACAAGTCAGTCCCTAACGTCCGTCTTCTCTTGGTCTTTGGAGGTGACGTTCTCATGTGTGTCTTGTGTCTGCAGGTAGAGTCCCACCCTCTGTGTCCTTACCCAACCCAGAGGACAGGTTCCCCCCGTCGAATGCTTCTGTCCAGCAAACACTCCATCTACATTTCCCCGCACAAGTCAGGCTCCGCCCCCTCGCCGTCTGCCCCCCGTAATAGGATTTCCTACTACATCTGCAGCAGCCCCCACAACGTGAGACTCAGCAGATACACAACATGTTTGTTTCCATAGTAACTGCCAGCAGCTGAGGCTCATGGGTATTGTAGTGTTTCTAGACGGAACCCATACAGATCAGAAATAAACCAGGAACTTCTGTCTTCACCCTGTGTCCTCTGTCTCCATCCTGTGTCATCTGTCTTCACACTGTCTCTTCTGTCTTTATTCTATGCTCTCTGTCTTAATCCTGTGTCTTCTATCTGCATCTTCTGTCTTAATCCTGTCTTCTGTTTTTGCAACATCTTCTGTTCTCCATCCTCATTCTTCATCCTTCGTTTTCTGTCATCTTATCTTTGACTACTGTCCTTTGTTCCTTGATTTCATCTTTTGTTCTTGGTCCTCTACTTTAAAATTTCTTCTGTCCTCTCATTTATATCCTCTGTTCTTTGTCCTCTGTCTTCATCATGAGTCTACTGTCAATTGTCTTCTTTCCTGTCCTCAACTTCTGTCATTTATCCTTCTTCTTGTCTTTTGCTTTCTGTTGTCCATCCTCTAATCTTTGTCCCTTGCCTTTATCTTCCATTCTCTGCCCCCATTTTTTGTCCAATGTCCTCTGTCGTCCATCTCTTTTTCTCGGTCCTCTGTCCTTTTGTCATCCTTATTCTACCCTCTGTTCCCTGTCCTCCATCCTGTGTCCCTACAGCGTCTCCAGGAGATCAACAGCATGATCCGGACAGGAGAGACTCCCACCAGGAAGCGCAGCATCCCTCTGGACGAGGAGACGTCCCCCAAACGACTTTGTCCCGACAACCACACCGCGCTGCTGCGCCGCCTGCAGGACATTGCCAAGGACCGCAGCTCCTCCCACTGACACTGTCGCCGTGGTGGCAAACAGTCGCTGACACTTGAAACGCTTGTGGGACCGTCGGTGACAAAGAGTTTCTGCAGGTTCTTCTCATTGCCGTTTGAGAGCAGAGGTTCTGTTCCCTCTGAGAAATCCAACGGATGAAACCGACATTTTAGGTTTTATGAAAAAAATGTGATCAAGTTTCCAAGCGTGACTTTTTTCTTTCTCTTCAGATTTGATCTGAAACTTGCTTAGTTTCTCAGTTTTGGTTTAAATTCAACAAACTTTTCCTCCTGATCTGAAACCTTTTCAGCAGCTTGATTGTGTTTTATGGGATTTATTCAACATTTTAATATTTATTATTTTTTACTAACCTTTGTTTTAACTAGGCAAATCCCACTGAGATCACAGATATCTTTTACAAGGTCCTCCTGGGCTTGAAGGCAACCTAACATGCATGTTTTTGGACTGTGGGAGGAAACCCGAGTACCAGAGAAAACCCACGAGGAGACCATGCTCCACATGGAACGAGTCCTGGTCCAACCCGGTGATTGAACCCGCCCGTCGTGCTGCCTTAATGTTTTCTAACCTGTTAGAAAAATATGTAGTTAGAATATAAGAACAAATTACAGATTAAACAAAAACACTTCATTTGACAAATTTAAAGACGAATGAATATTTTGTTAGATCTACACGTCACTATACACACAAACACTGAAGGAGCATTTTATTCACAGAAAACGTTGCTTGTTTAAAAGTAAAATATATTCGTTTAAATTATGTGATATAAAATTCAGGATTTAAAATGAAGGAAACTGATTCTTCTGCAGGTTGTTTTTTGTTGTTTTATTCTCTTTAAGATTTTATCAAGGAGTGTTTGTCAATCATATGTAAACTTGTTTTATCAGCCATACTTTTTCTTGGCTGATTTTTTTTTGTTTTTGTTTTTTAAATCAAAATTATGAGTTCATTTTGTGTTTTTTTTTTTTAAAGTCAGTTTACGTGTAGAAAAGATTTAACAAAGTAAAGTCAGGTCTTCTGGACGGATTCTTCTTTGTTGAAACGTTTCATCTTTTATCCAAAAGACTTCTTCAGTCTGAGGAGCTGCAATAAACTCTGTCTTATGAGTAGCACCTGCTCATAGTGGATCAACCAGTTTGCAGGTGACATCCAGAACTAGTTCACATGATGAAGCAGGACCAGCAGCCTAACAATTGATCCTTAGTGCCCTGATGGCTGCTTGATATTCACAGGGGGCTGAGTGATGCTATCAGTAACAGCATTGTAAGAAGGTGACGATTGGACACGGAGGCCTCCACCCTTTAATGATCTTTTCACAAAGATGGCCTCCTTTACTCCTCTCTCAAACCATCGTTCCTCTCTGTCCAGGACGTGAACATCTTCATCCTTGAAAGAGTGACCGCTGGCCTGGAGATGAGTGTAGACCGCAGAGTCCTGGCCTGATGTTGTTGATCTTCTGTATTGGTCCATCCTTTTGACAGTGGCTGTTTAGTTTCTCTGATGTAAGACTGATCACCCTCCTGACACTGAACAGCATACACAACGTTGCTCTGTTTGTGCCGGGGGACTGGATCTTTGGGATGAACCAGTCTTTGCCGTAATGTATTTTGGGGTTTAAAAGCCACTGGGACGTTATGTTTAGAAAATAAACGTCTCAGTTTCTCTGATACTCCCTCAACATACGGAATGACCACTGGTCTGGGTCTGGGTTCCTCCTTTTCACCTGTTGGCTGACTGGAGTCCTGTTTGGGTTTCTTCTCTGCTTTCAGGAAGGCCCAGTTAGGATATCCACATTGCTCTAGAGCCTGTCTTGTGTGGGATTTCTCCTTCTGCCTGGCTCCCGAGCTAGTGGGGATGCTGTCTGCTCTGTGATACAGAGTCCTGATGACTCCTAACTTGTGCTCCAAAGGGTGATGGGAGTCAAATCACAAATACTGGTCTGTGTGGGTGGGTTTGCGGTACACCTCAGTTTGCAAATGTCCTCTATCAGAGACTGAGACCTCACAGTCCAAGAAAGCCAACCTGCCATTTTTTACATCTTCTCGTGTGAACTTGATGTATTTATCCACAGAGTTGATGTGGTCAGTAAAATGTTGGACTTCCTGAGATTTGATTTTAACCCAGGTGTCGTCAACATACCTGAACCAATGACTTGGTGGTGTCCCTGAAAAGGACGTCAAGGCTCTCTTTTCTACCTCCTCCATGTACAGGTTGGCAACAATAGGAGAAACTGGAGACCCCATAGCACACCCATGTTTCTGCCTATAATATTGCTCCCCATATGTGAAGTAGGTTGACTGCAGGCACAGTTTCAAGAGTTGACACAGTTGTTCTGTGGAAAGCGTGGTCCTGCTGCTCAGCGTGGTGTCTGATTTTAATTTTAAACTGACCACCTCTACTGCATCATCAACAGGAATGCACGTAAAGAGTGATGTGACATCAAAAGAGACCATTGTTTCATCAGTCTCCATGATGACATCCCTCACCTTGTCCACAAAGTCCATGGTGTTCTGTATGTGGTGTTCTGAGCTGCCAACTAAAGGGATGAGTACAGACGCCAGATATTTGGAAACATTGTAAGTGACAGAGTTAATCATGCTAATGATTGGTCTTAAAGGTACACCTTGTTTGTGGATTTTAGGTAAACCATACAGACTAGGTGTGGCCTCCCCTGGGTACAGTCTGTGGTACAGAATACGGTCAATAGCCTTGTCCTGCTCCAAAATTTTCAGGCAATCTATTAACTTTTTCTTGTAACCACTTCCTGGATCTCTTTTCAGAGGTTCATAAGTGGTTAAGTCACTAAGGAGTGTCATAACTTTCTCATGATAGTCTTTCTGGTTCAAAATCACTGTGCACCTTTTTTTATCTGCTGGGAAGACGATAGAGTTCTTGTCCTTGCTGAGAGTGGTGAGTGCATCCCTCTCCTCTCTACTGATGATGGAAGGTGGTGGATTGATGTTGCTGAGGCAGGCTGAAACTTTGATTCTGAGTTGTTCTGCTTCAAATGCTGTGCTGTTGTGGATGGCTGACTCAGTGGCTGTGATCATCTCCACCAGAGGAATTCTTCTTGATGCAACCTCAAAGTTCAGACCCCTGGCAAGGATCTCTGTCTCCGGCTGGGTGAGCTGTCTGTCAGACAAATTCTTCACCTACTTTTCTGTCTCCCTGGCATGTGACTGTTTACCGGTGTGTTGTCTATTATTGAATGTGTTATTGTTAGGATTGAGAAGGGCTTGACGAGTTACCAGTAAATTAAACTTTTTTTTTGTTGTCAGGTCTTGGACTGGACATGTTTTTTTCTGTGAAGACCATCACTTGTGAAATGTGGTCTGATCTAGTTGTGCTGTTAGTTTTTGTCAGATGTGATCTTTGGCCTCTAAAACCTCAGTAGTAACTGGTCTGTTCCACTTTGGAGTAAGCTGTTTGGGGGAAGAATCAGTTTTGTTGTGTGTTTCCTTGACTGATGAAGCCGTCTGGATGGAAGGTGAAACGTTTCAGCACACACACAAAAAAAAACTGTGCAGATGACCTGACTGAAAATTGTTGGCTTGTATACCTGGATTATTGAGCATGGACTTTGTTGGTTTTGAACCAGTTTGACAAGACTGTCGACGAGGAAGAGGGCCGGAACCAGAGGAGGGGGCGTGCCAAAGAGGCCATCTTAGCACCAACATAACTGGTTTGTTCCACTTTGGAGTAAGCTGTTTGGGGGAAGAATCAGTTTTGTGTTGTGTTTCCTTAACTGATGAAACTGATGGAAGGTGAAACGTTTCAGCACAAAAAATAGAAACTGTGCAGATGACTGAAAATTGTTGGACTGTATACCTGGATTATTGAGCATGGACTTTGTTGGCCTCAGTAGTAAAATTGATCAGTCTCATTCGTTCATTCAGCAGCTGGGTCTGTGCCTTCTGAAGGATCTTGCTTGCCCAGTGCCCACTGGCAGAAGATTTGAGTTGCATGCTCTTGTCTGCATCGGTGGTTCTACAGTGGTTCCTATAGTTCACCCTCTTCCTTACCAGTTGCTCACACTCTCGAACTAGTTTGAGGCAATCCTGGCCAAAGTGGATGAAAATGTCCTGAAGCGTGCTCAATAACCCAGGTAGATGAATCTAAGGTTGAGTCAGGCCCTCAGGTGGATCCTCCGTGTTCAACTGTCCCCTTCTTATGGTTTTATTGCTAGTATCACTCAGCCCTCTGTGAATAGCAAGCGGCCATCAAGGCACTAACTATCAATTGTTAGGCTGATGCTCCTCGTTTTACCTGTGAAGAACTAGTTCTGGCTGTCTGCAGCAAACTGGTTGACAAACTTGAGATGTTTTAGTTTGTGTTCATCCCTCACTGTCCAGAGGAGAAAAATGTAAATGTATGTACAAAGGAGAAAAGAGAAGTTACTGAACAAATGTGATGAATTGAAGTGCCTTTATTTTTAAACCCCTTTTTCATTTACATCCTGTTAACATTTTGTTTATTACACACAGTAAAATCAAATGTTTAAACTGATCCTGTTTGTCCTCACAGTCATTTTTGTTACGACACGTTTTATATTTGGTGTTGAGTAATGAATATAATTTTTTATTTAATTTGAAGCTGTATTTGTCTTTGATGAGCAAACTGACTCCAGTTGGATCTTCATGATCTATCAAATATTTTACTCTCCCCTTGCACATGTTGTGCCACTTCTGGTTCCCTAATGACTTCCTGTCTGCCAGACTGCACACCTGACACCTGCTGGTTATCATAATCACACCTGATCATCACATCCTCCTGCAGTGGAAATACAACATGTATACCATGAATTTTTTACTATGCAACCATAAAATAACATTCTCCAGATCATCTAAACCATCATATACATTATATACATCATTTAACAACTGCTATTTAAAAACATCCCTTCATCACAATATATTTAAAAGTGAACTTCACACATTTAAAAACACTAATTCATAGATTCAGTCTATCAGGTTTTTTGGTTACTCTTGCAGATCTTCTCAGCACAGGTTCCTTAGTCTCGACAGGTTGTGCAGTAACAGGTTTAGCTTTATCAACACCTCATCTGGGTTGTTCAGGAGGTTCTGGAGTTTTAAAACTGCATCGATCATTTCTGAGAATCTGCCCTTCCTCTGTTCTCACAGTGAATGATTGAGGACCGACCTCTCTTTTAGAATGATACATTTGGTTCTCCATCCTGTAGGTCTTCAGTGCTGACCACGTCATCCTGTGATGACGGTGGAAGCTGTCTAGCTGCTCAATCGTAGAAAAACTTTTGCCTTGTTTTCTGATGTAACTTACATTTGACCTCACCGTTTTTCTTTTGCTTTGAGAAACTTGGTATTGTAGCACACAGCTTTCTGTTCATCAACTGATCAGCATGTGTGGTGACGCTCTAGCTGACTAAAGGTAGATATGGATCTGCATGACCATCAGCTGCTTTCTACAGATGTTTTAGAATATGGACACCTTTTTCAGCTTTCACGTGGACTGTGTCTACAAGGGACTTGATGTTACATGTTTAAAATCATAGTCCTGTGCAGAAATCTCCCAATCTTTGCTTTTAAAACATGGACCATTGTCACTCAGCACTATGCCATGACTAGCAAAAATAGATTTGGTATGACTAATGACACATGTTGAACTACTTGACAGTAGGGCTATTTCAGGAAAGTCTGAGTAATAGTCAGTAATCACCAAGTAATATTATCTAGGCCTACTTGTTGCCATGGATGAGTTGGAACTTACTTCTGCTACAATCATTGGCTCTTTTGTTTGTTTCTGTTCTGACACTTCACATCTAATCAGTCTCTCAATGTCCTTATTTATACTTGGCTGACAGTAACATTTTTCAATACCCAGTTCACCTCTTATGTGAAATAAATTAGGACAAGAAGCTGCAGGACAACCATTTTCCATGCTAAACATGACATGCTGCAGTTCAGAATCTCCTGCTGTTCCCTCAGCTATTTGTCTAGACTTCATCTCTGACCCAGGAAATGTAGTCAACACCATGTTCACATGGATTCAAACATCATTGTCAGTTGCACTCTTACAGTCAGTCTCTGGTGCTTGTTAAAGTGCATCTGCAATAATAAGATATTTCCCTGAAATACGAGTTCAAAGTAGGGGGGATTGGTGGCAGAGGCTAGAGAAGGTGAACCTGTGATCAGAGGGTTGCTGGTTCAGCTACTAGGAACGACAACATCAAAATGTAGGTGGGAAAGATGAAACGCCCACACCTGCCTCCACCCTCATTGGGTTCTTAAAAATTTGTGCATATAATATTTTATATTGTATCTGTTTTCAGGAACAACATATTGTTGTTGTAATAAATTGGCTATTATTAAATACCAGAGTAAATACTGAGAACCCAAAAGGAGACATTCAATAAAAACACATGAAAAGGATTATTTTATATCTGTCCTCTCTTCTCCCTCTTATATGCTTATTTTTAATAATGATACAATCAGATGTTCTTATTTTAAAATATTTTAAATAAAGCATTAATTTACACGTTATTTAAAATGATTTTAGTGTGATTGTGTTATGCATTCATTTTGAAGCATTTATGCAGTCTCTCAATCTCCATATCGGTGTTAAATAAAACGGAACAATTTCCATGGCGTTACGTGTTTCCACACGGACTTTTTTTATACACGGACACAAATCTGAAATTTGATTGGCTACAAACGAACAGCTAACTTTATTAAAATATGCCTGGTTTTGATGTTTATTTTAAATAAAATTAAAAGCTGCTTTTTAATATAGTTCACGTAATCAGTTTGGGTTTGAAATGGCGACGCTGGTTCTGGATAACGGAGCGAATTCGGCTAAAATCGGCTACAGTTCGGAGAAAGTCAGGTGGGATCGATGTGTTTAACGTTTTTCTGACTAGATTATAAACGATAGCAGAGAAAATAACGTTTTATTTAGTTTGTAAACAGCTGTTGGACTGAATAAAAGCAAAGTATGTTACTAAAATATGTTTTTGATTGCATATGATGAATTTTAAATTCTATTAAAAAACACTATCATTAAGGTAAATAAATCACTAAAAAGGTGACCTTTTTATTTTTTTTTGTAAAATAAGATTTAAGTTCTCCCATATTTTTAGCTTCAGTTTTGTTGGCTTTTTTTTTTTTTTTGGTGTATCAACATGTAAAGGTCTTAATTCACCTAATTTCTTTAATTCTCAGGGGAAATGAAAATTGTCTATATTTTTATAACAAAAGTTTTTTCTAATCATATAAATTTTACTTGATTATAATTTTTGTTTAATTTTACTGGAAGTTTAACATAAGGAATATTTCCTGAATTTAACATATCATTTGATGAGTGAAGTACAAATGTTTAATTATTCTATAAATCGGTGTTTGAGACCATCTTTGATAGTACATTTTTAACACTTAATTTATATATTTTTAAGTTTAACTTTTCTTTCTCCCTCAGCGTCATCCCAAACTGTCAGTTTCGCTCAAAGACATCCAGATTAAAAACCTTCACGGCCAACCAGCTGGACGAGATTAAAGATCCTTCGGGTCTTTTCTACATCCTCCCCTTTCAGAAGGTCAGCAGGTCGCCACCGAAACTTCAGCTGCTCATAAACCTTCGGCTGATCCTGGATGTAAAACTTACCGCAGCACCATCTAAATTTGAAGGAGCACCAATCAACTGCTTTCACTGAAACGAAACAAAAACACACAGAGGACAGGGGACTCTGCGTTTGATCAGAAACCTTTTTGTCTTATTTCAAAATAAAAGTGTGTCTGTGAACAGCTGGGCCCAGATGTTACCCGTTCCTTCAGAATGCTGCTGAGTTTTTTCTGTTGAACCTTCAGTGGGTTCTTTCTGTAGGAAAGCTGCAGTAAGATGTGTTTTAGGTTTAAACTTTGGGTTTTCCTGCAGATCTGAGTTAGAAAATACCGTAGGTTGTAACATCGATAAAAATATGAGATTTCCATCTGCTGTCTCTGTTTGTGTCTCTGCAGGGTTACCTGGTCAACTGGGACGTCCAGAGGAAAGTTTGGGATCATCTGTTTGGAAAAGAAATGTTTAAGGTGTTTATCATCTGAACAAGCTCTCTCCTTTCTTAGCCTGAAGCTGAAGTTTGTTTCTGACCAGGTGGAGTTTGCAGACACCAGCATCATCATCACAGAACCCTACTTCAACTTCAGCTCCATTCAGGAGTCCATGAACGAGATCCTGTTCGAGGAGTACCAGTTCCAATCGGCTCTTAGGATCAACGGTGAGTCGAGCTGCAGTCAAACACAGATTTTATATCACATATATCATTATATCACTATATATCACATTATATCACACTTGTATATCATTATAGCCCTAAAATTTCTCTGAAACACCCCAAAATTAGGGGTGCTCCTATTTTCTTAATTTTGGGAACTCAGAAATCGGACGATACTTTCATGAGAAACCGATTTTTAAAGTTTTAACAGCAATTGTCTGAACTTCATTTATATTTCAGAGCACTACCACATGGCCAGTTAAAACAAAGTTTGTATTGTTTCTAGGACATTGTTCAAGGGTATGTTTTTCAATAAAATAAGATTGGAAAATTGAAGGTGCATTGTGACCTTATAACACCTGACAGTGTTACTTATAAAATAAAAAAATAAAAAACGGTATCGGACAAAATCGGAATCGGCAAGTCAGACTTTTTAGAAATCAGTGATCGGACAGAAAACTGCAATCGATGCGCCCCAACTAAAAATCTTAGATTGTACTTTTATTTCTATAATTAAGATTTGTCACTTTGATAATCATCCTCAAATGGACTGAAACTGAGTGAACAAGCAGCTGAAGTCCAAAAATCAATGTTACGGATTGAAGGACTGGGAGATGATGTTAAAGAGGCCAGACCGAGATGGTTTGGACATGTCCAGAGGAGGGAGTGGTTTGGACATGTCCAGAGGAGGGACAGTGATTTGTACATGTCCAGAGGAGGGACAGTGGTTTGGACATGTCCAGAGGAGGGACAGTGGTTTGGACATGTACAGAGGAGGGACAGTGGTTTGGACATGTACAGAGGAGGGACAGTGGTTTGGACATGTACAGAGGAGGGAGTGGTTTGGACATGTCCAGAGGAGGGACAGTGATTTGGACATGTACAGAGGAGGGACAGTGGTTTGGACATGTCCAGAGGAGGGACAGTGGGTATACTGGTAGAAGGATTTTAGAAATGCAGCTGCCAGGAAAAAGACAGAGAGGAGACATATGGATGCAGTTAGAGAGGACATGGAGGGAATTGGAGAGAGGACAGAGATGGAGGAGGAGGACTCGCTGTGGCGAACCCCTGAAGAGGGAACAGCTGAAAGAAGATGACAGGAGAAGAAACTCTTTAAAGCTGTTGATGAAAATGATAAATGAGGAAGATCTAATTTATTATCAGTTTGTTTTTTGCATATCAAGAAAACCCAGGCCAGGGTTTAAAAATGATTCGTTTTAACGTTTGGTTTCCTCTGGATCTCTGTGGTTGGATGTTGTTAGCGTTGGGTGGTTTGTTTTTGCTGCTCTGGGATCAGCTCAGCCCTTCTTGTGTTCCTGCAGCCGGCTCGCTCAGCGCTCATCACTACTTCCACTCGAAGCCGTCGGAGCTCTGCTGCCTGGTGGTGGACTCGGGGTTCTCCTTCACCCACGTCGCCCCGTACTGCCGCAGCAAGAAACTGAAGGAGGGCATCCGCAGGTCAGAGGGCGCCGAGCTGCAGCCGTGACATCAGCAACAACAGTAACAACACTAACAGCTGCCTGTTGGTTTGTTTCAGGATCAATGTGGGAGGGAAGCTACTGACGAATCACCTGAAGGAGATCATCTCGTATCGGTTTGTGTTTTCAGGATCTGATAAAATGAAAACAAACACATCCTGTTTTTATATCATTTCTATGTTTCCAGGCAGCTTCATGTGATGGATGAGACGTACGTGATCAACCAGGTGAAAGAAGACGTGTGCTACGTGTCCCAGCACTTCTACAAAGACATGGAGTCCGCTCAGTAAGAGACACAGAAAGCATCCTCTTCACCTCAGCTCTGCTGCTCGGGCGGGGGTGGGGGGGTCATGACAGTTTCTGTTTTTACTTGAACAAGTTTCTCGTGTTTTCAGGTTGAAGGGAGAGGACAACACTTTGCTAAGGGATTATGTTCTTCCAGATTTCAGCGCCATTAAAAAAGGTTTCTGCAAGGTGAGACAACCTGGTTCTGGTTCTGGTTCCTGATCCACGGAAGGGATGATCAGAACCGGTGCTTCTGCCTAATCGAACCCCAAACCTCAAACCCAGCAGCTGACGTTTAATCAGAGATCCAAAAGTGTCACCATCTTCACAGGTTTTATCACAGGTGTTTCTTCAGAAGTCTGGAAAAGGATTTTCCAGGCCTTAAAAATTTTGGAAGAAAAGGGAATGGGGAAAACTAAAACTTACAGTACTGTTACGCTAAAAGATAAAAAATTTGATTTTTGTTTCTAAAGTCTATCTTTTTGGACAGAAAATATTAAAAAAGCATTTCTTGACAGAATGCATGTCACTCACCGACGTTCAGGCCAGAGCTTCAGATGAAGATCACGTTGAGAAATGGTGGCACTTACCGTAATTTCCAGACTATTGAGTGCACCCAAATATAAGCCACGCCCACTAAATAAAAAAATAAATTATACATTTATAGGCGGCGCTTGTATATAAGCCATGGGTGTCCACATTGTAACATGAGATATTTATACAGAAAGATTTTTTTAAACTTTTAATCAAATGTGTACTGGTAACATACACAACAATGGATGTTTTTATTTCTGAACAGTGCCTGTAACACAGCTGGTAAACAAAACCACAAAAAAAGTAGCCTACCCAGAAGTCATTGATCGCTATCTTCCTCCTGCTCATTGCGCAGGAGGATGAAGGACAGCTTGTGATGTCATCATCACGCAGCAGCCTTTCGAATAAATAAAGGATCAATAGAGGATTTTAAAAAAATCATAATAATTTTGACACTGCTCTGCTGTCGGGATCCACTGATCCACTTGAGAGAAAGTTGCTCTTTGCATGCGGCCAGTTTTGGTAAATGATTTCTCGCTGCCAGACATCTAAGCCTCCCACAGAGCTCAGAGTGCCATTTTAAATTCACGATTCACACTTATTTCTTGTGGCTGCAAATACTTCATTGTGCACAACAGATAGGAGAGTCCCCCCCCCCCCCCCCCTTCCGTGACCTGTTTGATAATTTCATTGGTCAGATTTTTTTTTCCATTCACCTTTATTTATACAGGTTAGTCTCAGTGAGTCATGAGGACCTACCCCCCAAGAGAGACATGTATTGGGCAGCTATGTGAGCGCCCGGGTCTGACGAGGCTAAAGTTTTGTCTACGTAAAGCTCGTTAGCCCGTCAACAAAAAAAAATCCATAAATTAGCTGCAGCTTTGTTTAAGCCGCCGTTTTCGAAGTGTGTGGAAAAATTAGCAGCTTATAGTCCGGAAATTATGGTAGACGTGATCTCTTGTTGACACTCAAGAGTGTGTGTTAGGAAGACGCTCAGCTACTACCACATTCGATTTGAACTCTTATCTGTAAAACTGAGATAGAGCCACTTGTATGTTGGCGACCATCTTGAATTAGGTTGGCTCCGTTAATTATTTGATTTGCACATGTTCGTCCAATCATTACGTTCTGAGAGGTTCATTGAAACTCGTCCAGTGGGTTGTGAGATTTTACTAACGTGGTTGTCTCTGTGTCCTGCAGCCGCGAGACGAGATGGTCTTCAGTGGAAAATACAAGACGAGCGAGCAGATTCTGAGGTTGGCCAACGAGCGCTTCGCTGTTCCTGAGATGCTCTTCCACCCGTCCGACATAGGCATCCAGGAGACGGGGATCCCCGAGGCCATCGTGGACTCGGTCCAGTCGCTGCCAGAAGGTTTGTCCCTCAGACGTTCAGGATTTACCGGGAACACGACGGGAGCAGGTTCAGCTATCTTCTAAACATCGGCTCACCGTCGGAGTAGCTTTAGATGATTTCTGAGCAGCCTCTGACGGGGGGAGAGAAACTCGGTTTGTAGGGGCCCTGGTTTCTCTGAGCTCTGACCTCATTCAGTGGGCGGGGTTAATCACAGTGTGTTCCCGTTAACACCAGGAATAATCATGTTTGGGTGCGATTTAATGTTTCTGACGTCCGTTTGATGGTTGTGTGACAACATGAGCTTCTGTTTTAAGTTTTAACCCAATAAAATAATCAAACTGCTTTAATTAAGACGTCCAAACCAAATGATTTCCAACAAACTTTGAGCTGCAGGTTTTATAGCTGCATCGGCAACCATCAAAAATAAATCTTAGTGTTCATTTCTTTCACTCCATCAGAGATGCAACCTCACTTCTACCAGAACATCGTTCTGACCGGAGGGAACACGCTGTTTCCAGGCTTCAGAGAACGTCTGGAGGCGGAGCTTCGATCTCTTGTCCCCGCCCACCTCCCCGTGTCGGTGCTGCTGCCTACAAAGTAAGAGATGGGAACCCAGTTCAGGTTATGATTTCTTCACTGCAGCCTTAAAAACAACGTCCTGGTGTGTGGGAGGAGACGTGCGTTTGTAACGCAGCTTCGTTTCTCGGAGGAGGAAACGGGCGTTCAGTTTCTTCAGGTCTGATGATAAAACCCGGTTCTGTTCTGTTCTTGCAGTCCGGTCTGCTACCCGTGGGAAGGAGGGAAGCTGCTGGCTCACAGTCCAGACTACGATGAGATGGTGGTGATGCGGGAGGACTACGAGGAGAACGGACACATCATCTGTGAAGAGAAGTTTGATATTTGAACAGAACCACAGACTGACGGGCTTTAAACGGAGAACCTTCTCTCTGCAGATGTTTCAGAACATCAGCGGAGCGTCTGATCCTGTTGAACTGACTCCAGAACTTTCCCATTCAACAACAAAGAAGGAACATTTCTAAACTTATTTTTAAATAAAATCTTTGCTTTTATTCTTAAAATCTTCACTAATCTGTCATCAGGGTGTTTTTTATTTTAATACTTTAAATCTGTTACATTTTTTGAATCCTCCAGAAATGTCTTCTACATCCCTTCAGTGCTTCAGGATATAGTGATAAAACCTAAAGTGTTTTAGGTTTTTAGCTCAGCTCAAGTTCAATATTTTCAATTTTAGCCATTTAAGCTGATGTTCTGTAAACATTCAGCTGCTTTTTGCACTGATGACAATACGTAGCACTTTCACGTTTACAAGTTGGTTGGACTCTGCTGGAATGACTAAAAGGATCGGGGAGTGGTGGCGCAGAGGTTAGAGAAGGTGGGCCTGTGATCGGAAGATCGCCGGTTCAAGCCCCGGTACCGACAACATCAAAAATGTGGGCGGGGTAGGTGGAGCACCCACATCAGCCCCCACCCTCGTTCACTCCACCCTGGGCCCATGAGCAAGGCCCTTAACCTGCTCCCTAAACAGGTCTCTCTTGAAAATGAGTTCTCGTAGCCCAATGAGACTTCCTGTATAAATAAAGTGTAAATGAAAAAAATATATATCAAGGCACTTACTTTGTATATGTTTGAAGTTATGTGCATTTAGTAATTTTAATTTTAAAAATTTAGCTTTCGGTTATTTATTTTCTTTCAGTCTAAAACAATGTCATTTTCAGTTCGTGGCTGACAGCCAGTCAGAATTCGGCCTGTTATGGTTGCTAAGATACGCAAAACAGGAAGTTAAGAATGAGGGCTGTGCATGGAGCGCCGCGACAATAGTGGGAATATCATTTTTTCCCCTGTCGTCATTATTTTAAGGGGTTAAGGGCCTTGCTCATGGGCCCAGGGTGGGGTGAATGAGGGTGGGGGCAAATGTGGGTGCTTCACCTACCCCACCCACAATTTTGATGTTGTCGGGCGTGAACAACAATCAAGCCTTCCGGATCGAAGGTGAAACGTTTCAGCACAAAAAAAGTAACTGTCCAGATGACCTGACTGAAAAATGTTGGGTTAGTTTTTAGTATTTTACCTTGTTTTATATGGCGCTTTGATTTTTTTGTTTTTATAACACTATTTTTTATTTTAATTGCTTTTTATTGTTGTATATTATTGTCTGTATGCCATATGTTGTCTGTCTAAAACAGGTCTCTCTTCAAAATGAGTCCTCTTGACTTAATGAGACTAACCGGTCTAAATAAAGGTTAAATAATAAAAAAATTAAAAAACAGCAAGTCATCACCCATCTGTAAAGCACGGAGGAGGCACCATCATGGTCAGGGCTAACCCAAATAATCCCGCTTCACTGCAGGTTTAAAGTAAATCGGTCACAAGTTGGAGACGAGTTAATATTTTTAATGTTGAAGTTCTGATGATTTATTTATTTTTTATTAATCGATTCAAACATCAGTACTTCTGATCAGATTTGAATTCTTTATTAAAATAGATCCTACAAAAGAAACAACAACTCACTTCATACTTTATAGACAGCAGCTAAGATCGGTTAATTTTTTCATCAATCATCAGATTTCTGTTCGTCATGGCAGCTGGAATCCAGCGGGTTTCAGGAACCAGAACTCTTCATTTATGTTACGACTCCGACGTCGGTTCTTCAGGTCAGGACGGTGATTCCCTCTGAGTCCAGCTCCACTGAGTGAACGCTGACGTCCCCCAGACCCTGAAACAGACCGCTTGGCATTATGGGATGTTTTTAAACTACAGGTAGTGCAACACAGTGAACAGAGACAAACGGATGTTCGATGCTCCATCAGACCCACTTTGTTCTGATTTAGTTTTTCTTTCTCTACTTGAACTTTAATGGTTATCCGTTCATGCCCACTGCGTACTCTGAAAGTATCAGATACACACACAAGTGCAGCGTGTGTACTTTATACTTTTCTGGTACAAATTGCACATGGTGGTTATTGAATTTTTAAATACTGAATACATATGAGGTACAGAATTCGTATTACCAGTAGTATGTTTACAGAACCTGGTCCTGGTATGTACCTGGTACTTACTGAAAACACCAGATCTGTACCGGGCCATATTACGTTCTGCTTCTCTTCAGTGTTTTTGTGTACTTTAAGTTTTGTGGTTCTTCGTTGTGTACTAGAATTGGGGTTTGCTTCTCACCGGCGTTCTGCTGAGGACCTGCAGCACCGCTTCCTGCTGCCGAGGTTCCCGGGTCAGCAGGTAGAGGAAGCCGCCCCCGCCGGCGCCGGCCAGGCTCTGACCCAGGACCAGCGGCCTCAGGGCCTCCATCATGACCCGGACTGAAGCCGGCTCGCAGCCCGGCGCCATCAGCTTCTTCTGCTGCCATGAGCGGTCCAAACACTGACCCAGTCTGACCAGAGAACCTGGGAGGGGAGAGGGGACAGGAATGTGACTCCTCTCTGACACAAGGCATTATGGGAAACGTAGGAAACAAGACAAACAGGACACGATGAGCTACTGCTCAATATTCAACAAATATCAACTTCATGATGCAGAATAAAGATAATAAATGAATAAATCATAAAAACTTCAGAGTTGTTGGTTTAGTTTTACACATTAGACGAAAGAAACGGACCAGCTGGTTCTGACTGGAGGAAAGAAATCCACCAACCAACAGACAGAACCTGCTTCAACTAATTAATGTGCAAAGAATCAACTTCCTGTTGTTTTTAATTCAGTTTGTGTTGAATGTCCAGCTGTAACTAGGTCCGAGCTGCCGGTTCTGGTTCTAACCCACCTTCTGAACACGCTCTGGCACACTCCTCAGAGTTGGACACGAGCTGCTGCACGTTCAGAACCATCGACGGCAGACGGCTGTACCAGCTGCGGACCACGTCCTGCAGAAAAGAAAAACATCATGAAGCAGCGTCCCAACCGGGTGGTTCTGATCCAAACGGATGACATCATTTCACATACAATCATTTAGAACTGACATAAAAACAGGGTCTGTTTGTAGAGAGGAGTGGAGCATCTTCTCTGAGAGAAATCTTTCAAAAACAGCAATATACTGGACCTGCAGCAGGTTCCGGGCCAGACGGGTTTTCCCTGTGTAAACCAGCAGGAGGTGCTGCTGCAAAGACACCAGGAACTCCTCAGGAGGACACAGACGCTCCACCTCCACCTGTAGGGGCAGAACTGCTCGGGAATGACCCACTTTAACTCCGCCCACAAGACCGCCCACCTGGTCCTGCCAGCCGCCACCTGCAGGAGGAGGAGGGGGATGAAGGAGGAGTATGAAAAAGGAGGGGGAGGAGAATGAAGGAGGAGGGGGGTGGGAGGATGGAGGAGGAGAATGATGAAGGCAGAGGAGGATGAAGGAGAAGGTGTAAGATGAAAGAAGAGGACGAAGTTGACGGTGTAGGATGAAGGAGGATGAAGGAGGTGTAGGATGAAGGAGGAGGAGGCTGAAGGAGAAGGTGTAGGATGATAGAGGATGAAGATGTAGATGAAGATGTAGGATGAAGGACAAGGTGTAGAGTGGAGGAGGAGGAGGAGGATGAAGGAGAAGGTGTAGGATGAAGGAGGAAGAGGATGAAGGAGAAGGTGTAAGATGAAAGGATGACGAAGTTGATGGTGTAGGATAAATGAAAAGATGTAGGAAGAAGGAGGAGGAGGATGAAGGAGGAAGAGGACGAAGGAAAAGATGTAGGATGAAGGAGGAGGAGGAGGATGAAGAAGAAGGTGTAGGATGATGGAGTCAAGGAGAAGGTGTAGGATGAAGGAGGATGAAGGACAAGGTGTAGAGTAGAGGAGGAGGATGAAGGAGAAGATGTAGGATGAAGGTGGAAGAGGAGCCAACAGACCTGTGGTGAGAATCTGCTCCAGGTGCAGGACTCCGTGGATCAGAGAGTCCGTGTCGTAGGTCCGACCCGTGCATCTGTAGACCGCTGCCAACAGTGCCCCCGCCAGGATGCTGCTGGTACCTGCAGAACAAGAACCCACCAGGTTCTGAAGGGTTCCCTTCAGCTGCAGCTGAAACTTTACGTTTGAAACATGGATGCTATTCTGCAGTGTTCGGTGAGCGGCTGTGTGGTTCTGTCAGGTTCTGACCCAGTCCAGATCCGGTCGGCAGCTCTGACCAGCTGTGAAGCTCCACCCCTCCACCCCATCTCTGCATCAGCTGATGGTCCAGAGGATCCTGGGAGGACAGAGACACCAGGCCGCTGCAGACACACACCGCCTTCAGCAGAGCTCCTGCAGGACACACACACACACTCTCAGAGGTTCTCCTAGTTTGATCCGTTTACCCAGCAACCTGTCGGTCCGGTACCGGGAGCATGAGGCTGACAATGGTCCTTCAGGTCGTCCAGGCTCTCACACACCGTCTCCGTGGAAACCCCGCTGTCCCGCCCTTTGCTGCAGCTAACCAGCAGGAGGCGGGGCTTCAGGATGCGTCGGGCTCTGGCCCCGATTGGACGTTTCCCGTCAACCTTCACCGCCACGTTGGTCACGGAGCCGCCGTGCTCGAAGGCGATGGGTGGAGTGTCGCTCCAACCACCTGAAACACGAACACCTTTACTGGAGACGCGTTCGGGTGTTGCTGAGAAGCTGAAATGAGTTTCTTCTACACATAAAAGTGCACCCGAACACACCAGGTGTGATCACACAAAAGTAATTAAAAGCGTTCCTCACCTGCCAGGTCCAGTCGGGCTGGACACTCCACTTCTTGCCACTCCCCAACCGGTGGCATCACCCCCCGCCCAATGCAGACAAACCTCTGCGATGACATCACAGCCTGCCGGAGCAGCACCTGTCCTGCGCCTTCATAGTGTCGCGCTGCTCGCACCAGCAGGTCCGGCCTGCAGGAGGCGATGACTCGTGTCAGCACCGACCCAACAAGACAACATCACGAAGCGAGATGCTCACCTGCTCAGCCAGCTCCGTCTCTGAGAGGCGAGAGCGTAGACTCCGCCCCTCAGGTTCCCCTCCTCTAACAGGATGTAGGCGGCACGCCAGGCCTCATTTGAAGCCGGTCCACTTCTCAAACCCCCCTTCCCCCCGGCCATGCACACCAACACATCAGCTATGCAGGAGAGACAGCGAGCAGCCACGCCCATCTCCACTCCAAGCTCCGCCCCCTGCTCTCCACTTCCTGCTGCAACTAAACAAGATTTTATTCATTTCAGATTTAGTTTCTGATAAACACAAAAAAAGCTTCATGCAGGAAAACAAACATGTAATTAGTTGCCACTAGATGTCTCTACACCTCCAGACTGACAATTTAAAATTGTTGTTTTTGTTTGTTTTGTAAACATGTAGTTTCACTTTACAGCCCACAGGGGGCAGCACAGGTAGAGTTCATTTTAGATCAAATAAAACAATAAAAGTTAAGAGACTCACTACTGTCCAGAGTCTCCAGTAGCACCTCCTGCTGGCCTCCCAGGACCGCTGCCCTGAAGCAAGGCAGCATGCAGGTGTTGGTGAGACTCCGCAGGGCGTCCGTCACCCTTCTCCTCCCCGCTAGGAACAGAAGCTCCTCCCTCCACTGGAGCTCTGCCTCCTGGTGTGTGAGCGACAGCACCTCCCTCAGAGAGAGTCTCCATGCCTCCCTCCACCTCCTCAGACACCCAGACCCCCCCAGCAGCCAGTTCACCCCTCCCTCCAGACCGACAGCGCCTCCTCTGGGGTGGAGGACCGGAAAGAGTCGGGCCTCCAGGAGGGACTGCCGTTCGCCTCGGACCCACAGTTCCTCCGGCCTGAGAGGAGGAAGGAGCAAATCTTAGTTCTGGTTCTGGTCTGCGAGCTGAACCGTGTCGATACGACCCAGAGTTTACAAGTTTTATTTATTTGTTTGTCTCGTTGACGGCAGACGAAGGAGCTGATCTGTGTGTTAAAGTCTTACTGGACTCCTGTGGAGCTGAAGAAAACGCTCCAGCGCTGGTTCAGGAAGGAGGAGGTGCTGTCGTCAGAGGAGGCCTGAGGAGGAAGTCACCATCATCATCATCATGGTCTGAAGGTTCTGGCTCCCTGTCGGTCACCTCCATGTTTTTAAGTATTTTCTGTCTCAAACGTTGTCCTGGTCTGCTCTGTAAATCTCCTTTTTGTTGCTTTTAAGGAACCTGTTACTTTATTCAACAGTGAAATCTGGTTCTCCCCCCGACCCGAAACGGAAGAAGCGGAAAAAAGAAAATGGACGGATGGATCTGGTTCTAGTGAAGGAATAAAATCATCATAAATTAAAGAAATGTTCTCGTTGGGGCGATCAATAAACTCGTTTTCCGTAGAACATCTAACTTCTTGAACTTAACGCTACATCTTTCCAGTTTCCCAGTTTTTCAGAAGTGCAGTGAATGCATCACGATGATGAAGATAATTTTACTCCGAGCTGAAACAGAACCCTCTTTGTTCAGATTTTCTTTTTTTTTCTTCATGTTTTGTTTCAGTCAGGCAGAAAAAAGCAGAAACCCATAAAACTAAATAAAATAAAACAAATTTAGTTTGAGCTTTCTGTGACATCACCACGTTTCCATGACAACCGGCTGCAGGGTGTTTTACCTGCAGGTCGTCGTGCACGCCTATAACCGTGTACACATTCAACTTCAGCTCCCCCAGCTCGATTCGGTGTCCCTGGATGATGATGTCACTGCTGAGCGCCAGTTGCCTGACGCACGGCGACACGGACGCTTCGAGACCCGACAGCAGACAACCAGACGGGACATCCAGAGGACCCTGAGGAACACCAGAGGACATTTTTAAACATTACGTTAAAACAACAACAACAAAATCTAAAAGTTTAATTTTTAACACAAAATAAAATCAACTCCTTTCTGGATTTTTACAAAAATAAACAATTTCAACAGCAGCCGCTGCTCAAACTCCAACATAGCTCCACATGTTTGACAATAAACTACAAGAAGAGGAAAGAGAACCGTGATCCAAACAGTGGCTCTGATCACCATGGTAACCACACCTGTGTCACACCTGAGTGGAAGAAGACAGAACCTAAATTATCCGTCCAGTCGTGTGTATTTTTTAGAAGAGTTATTATAAAAGATTTAAACATTTTAGACATGTCAGAGCTTGGAGTGACATCATCACCCGTCAGTTCTATGAAGATCTGTGAAATCCTCCTCGTTCAGCTGTGTTTGTGTAAAAAGAGTTAAAGTTCTGAAACAGCAGCTCATTCATGGAGAGTCCAACTTCCTGTGACCCGTTTAAACTCTGAGGGTGGTTGTGAAGTCTGAGCTGCAGATCCAAACAGGACTGGGTTTAACCGCTCACTTCTATTATCGCCTCATGATCAAAAATATAAAAATTGAGTCGTCGTTAAACAACGAATGCAAATTTAAAAACATGCTGCATTAATGGTTTTTTTTTTACTTTTTTATTCAAATAAATCATAATTTTAGGCTTTATAATCGTTTAAGTTGCATAAAGAGACAAAGTCTCCAAACAGGATGCCGAAGAACTATGAAGATATAAATCATTTATCTTTATTTCTGTCAACAAATACAGAGATATTATTTCTGGTTTCTGTTGCTTAATTTTACCTTTTTTTTAATAAAAAAAAAAAAATAAATCAAATAAAACTTTCTCTATAAATAAAAATTTATTTTACAGTTTTGTCTGTCTCCTGATCCAGTTTCCTGAAGTTTTCCTTTGATTTCATTTTGTGAATCAACAGTTCTCCACACTTTCTGAAGTTTGTTTTTTTGACTTCGGCTGATTTTCCTCTCAGTTCTCGAACCTGCTGCGGCTCTTAAAAACTACCAAAAAGGTCCGCTTTTTGGAATCAGCGTGTAATGAACGCTGGACTGAGGGAATACCGTATTTTCCAGACTATAAGTTGCAGAGACAACTAAGAAAAACTTAAGAAGTACAATGCCCCCAAAAGTGATGTGGAATGAGATTGGTGAATTCACCGGTAACTTGCTTTTCGGACTCGTTGGTTCTTATGTTAATTAAGCCTGTTCAGTATCCCAGGTCTGTTCTGTGTGTTATTGTTATTTCACATTAAATGTCTGTTCTTGTCTAAATAAATGCGACTTATGCTCCAAAGTGACTTGTATATAGTTTTTTCCTCCTCGTGAGGCATTTTTTTGACTGATGCGACCTATACTCCAGAGCGACTTATAGTCCAGAAAATACGGTAGTTTGACGCCGTTTTCCCCCTCTGACCTGTAAGTGACAGTGTTGAACCACCGCTCCAGTTGCCACGGAAACGTCTCCCTCCAGAACGCTGTTGATGAGTCGAGCCCCGTCGCTCAGCCGGCTCTCAGTCTGCAGGGAATAAACAGAGTTTTAGAAGTTCAGCTACTATGAAGCGAGTTTCTGTGTTAAAGCTATTAATAATAAACATCTTACCTGTTGTAGACATCTGCTTCAACGTCGTGACAGGACTGAGGTGCTAACAGCTCGTTCCACTGCAGCTAAGTCTTAAGTAGATCTCTGTGCCTCGTTTCCAAGATTTACAGCAGTTTATGTGAAGAATATTTTATAAACATTTACACCAAAGTCTTTTCCTAATAAAGTGTTTACCATATTTTTCGGACTATAAGGCGCACTTAAAATACTTTAATTTTCTCAAAAATTGACAGTGAACCTTATAATCAGGTGCGCCTTATGTATTAATCCTGGTTGTGCTTACTGACCTCGAATTGATTTTATGTGGTTATTGTGAACGAGTTGAATAAATTTTGACTTATCCGACTGTTTTGTTTTGCTTCATGCGCCTTATGTATAAAAACAGACCCGTTCATTGATATTGCGCCGTATAGTCTGAAAAATACGGTATTCACCGGCAGCAGTAGAACAAAGCTCTTCTGGATCGCCTAGGGATCGTGTTCGGTCTGAGTTTCTCAGATCTCTGCTGAAATAACCGTTTGATGTTAAGCAGATGTTAGAACATTTTTAAAACCCCGTTTCAGAACCTGGACTTCTTTTAAGAAGATCTGTTGAGTCCTGCTGGAAAATGAAATCAGCAGAAAGAAGCATGAAGTCTCTAAAATGTCCTGGTAGATGATGCATGGACTGTGGCCTTCAGAAAACCCAGTGGACCAACACCAGCAGAGGACATGGACCCAAACCATCACTGACTGTGGAAACTTCACTCTGGACTTCAAGCAACATGGATTCTGGACTTCTCCACTTTTCCTCCAGACTCTGGGACCTCGATTTACAAATGACATGAAAATTAACTTTCATGTGAAAAGAGGACATTGGACCACCAAGCAACAGTCCAGTTCTTTGTTTCCTCAACAGGTAAGACACTTCTTATGTTTGTCTCCTCAACAGGTAAGACACTTCTTATGTT